GAAACATACATAACACAGAATCACATAGATATCACATCATATAATAGCATACAACATACTCTGCCACATACTCTAATTACCACTCTAGGTAAAGTATAGTGAGAAGACTCACCTCGGGTAGCTCGGTAAATCTCGAACTCGGAAATACTGATCTAGCCTCCGCCTAATCACATATAATAATTACTCTAATCAATATGACTCTCAAAGGCTAGGCTATTCCCTCTCTAAGTTCTCTCAGGAAGGTAAAAGACCATTTTACCCCTCTAATGGCTCAAAAGTTCAAACATTGACTGGACCCTAAAAGTCAACGAAAGTCAACGGTCAACTTTGACCAGACTCGTCGAGTTCACATAGGTGACTCGGCGAGTCCAAGCGTGTCCTCTGGGTCTATCTAAACCTCACTCAACTCGCCGAGCGAACCTTCCACCCGACGAGTCACCACTGGTCATGAATCGTGGGTCAACCCGACTCGACTCGTCGAGTCCCCTTATGGACTCGGCGAGTTCCTTCCATGGCAACACTCAAACGACCTTCTGAGGTCAGATCTACTTCACCAACTAGTAGATCTGACCTTCTAGCACTCAAAAGTCACGTAAAGGTTCGAACTTTAGGCCCATGCATCACACTATCATCTCTATATGCCAAAATAACCCTTAATATAATAACCTAGGCCCCAAAACTCATAAAGGATTGCATAAAGCTGAAGAATAGGGACTCTCTGGACCTCTCAAGGTCCAGATCTGATAATATTGTCACAAGGGGACATCACACATACTAGATCTCTTACCAAAGTGAAGAGATGAAACCCTAGATTCATGAAATCTATTACTCAAATGAAGATAGACATGAATCCTTACCTCCCACAGCAGCTCTGAAAGAAATGATAGAAGATTTGAGTCCCACAAGTCAGCCTAGCTCGAAATCCTTCCTTCTCTTTGCTAAAACACACCAAAGAATGATGAATTAGCCCTCCTCTTGGACTACAAGGTTTCTCTCTGCTCTCTAGGGTTTCTCAGGGGTGCAGTGGCCGCAAATGAAGGCCATAAAGGCCTTTAAATAGGGCACAGGCCCCAAGACTTAGGGTTTCTGCCGCCAGCACAGACTCGTCGAGTTACCTAGCCGACTCGTCGAGTCCATTCATTAATTCAATCAGCGAATCGCGATCCTACTCGACGAGTCTAGGCGCCAACTTGTCGAGTCCCTCTCTATAACTCAAAATAAAAGGTTAAAATAAAATACCTGGGAATCCGGATGTTACATTAAGAGGGAAAGAGGACTAGAATCGGATTTGACTGAATTAGTTAAACAACTGTCAAGGATAATCTAAGGTTCGCCAAGGATTGGTCACTTGTGGACAGTTAGAAGTATAGTCATGGATGGATCATATTGACATTATTATGAATATATAAGATTCTATTTAAAATGAGTTGTCATATGGAAAATATGAAAATGTTTCCATATTGGGAGTTGGACGTTAAGAGTTTATGTCTAGATTAAAACTTTTATGCAAGAAGGATGTTCAAAGGAATGTACTTTGAATGTGAGACTTCACATCTATAGAATTATCTTGTAACAATCTCCAATAGAGCATTTTGTAATTTCATTGGCCGATTCTTGGTGACTTTTGTGCCGTGACATTACGAAAGGACCGTTGCATAAAGTGTAAGAATCTAACATATTCTAGTAGTGGCGAGAATTTTGTAATCTTACACTAATTGATAAGATTTAGGAATTGTGAAATGAGTTTTTGTTAAAAATCTTCTCAGTAGATCTATTTCACAAGGTAAGGACCATAGGTAAACATAGTGTGCATGCTTGATGCATGGGACAACTGTGGTTATAATTCAAGTAATAAGTTGATTACCCGAAACAACAAATAATGAGAAATCAATATGGTGATTAAATAAAAATGTTTTATTTATACTCAAAGGTTTGAGGCCATATAGTATTAATATTATTCTTGTGTTTCACTTTGCATGTTTTGACTTCCTGAATAATAAGATTATTCGAACGTTCCACAGTCTCTTATACTTTGGAAGTAGGTATGAAAGAAGATTGTCATGAATTGGTTGTAGATTGTCTAAAGTGTATTAGACATAGCAAAGGTTTGCTACAACATTCATGAGTGCTTACGGATATGATTTGAGCATTGGATTAAACCCACGCTCACTTGGATCGCTTCATGGATTTTATCACGAGTGATTGGTGAGACGATAATATCTTATATTCTTGAAACCAAGATGTGTGAGTTGTATCTTGCGAATCGTTTACACATTGATAATATGTAAACGCACCAGTAACTTGGTGTTATAAACGCATTTGTGTGTGTGATTCGGTGAGTAAGTAAAAGCGAGCATGAGTCGAAGTTTATCTGTTCCTTTTACCCAAAGTGGGATAAAAGCGATATCTATGGGCCCCTTAATGATTTAGTGATGACAAAGAAAAGTGCTCGGCCGGGCCAGAACTGATTTGATTTGTTCAATTAGTCAGTCGTCATAAATCGGAAATCGGGAAACAACACATAGACTGAGAGAACGATTTCTATCCATGTCTCACGTCTATACGATATGTAGAATGGAGGAATATATGATCACTTATCTAAAGGACGCGTATCTGATAAGATCAGAGTTGACAATAGCTTTTGAAAGCTACGATTGCTGATCAGGATCTGAAGTCATACGTAGAATAGTTATTAGACTTATCCAAGTGGGAGACTGTTGGATTAGTGTCTAAGCCATAACTATTTTGGTATGTACTTGACCCGATTGCGAGCATGGTCCTTTTGGGTTGCCTTCACCAAAGCAACTTGATAGGATGATTGTATGGAGAAAGAGATTAATTTATTTATTAATATATTATATGAATAATATATTAAGAGAGAAATCATATTATTTAATTAATAATAGTCAAGAATTAATCAGAATTAATTTTGTGGCCAATAAGACATTAATTAAATAAAGGGGACTAGAACTGTCAATTGTGTGATAGTTGGATATTGGGCTAATGGACTCCATAGAGGATGGACTGGACGAAATCTATGGGGAAACCCATTAGAATTCGTCCAAGGCCTCTAAAGGAGGAGTCCATGGGCTGTTTAGGGCCTAAGCAGTCAGATTAGGGTTTCCTAGTTCAAAACCCAAATAGCCTCACATATTTAAGGACCCCTAGGGCACCAAAAACGTGGCTAACTGATTCCTTAGGGTTTCTAGACGTTTTCTGGTGTCTTCTCTCTCCTCCTTCTTCATCCTTATTGCTTATGGTGTTTGTGACTCCATTAGAGGTGTGACACTTGTGACACTAAGCTTTCAGAAGCTAATTACAAGAAGGAATTGATATTGTTATTGCTATATAACAATCAAAGGTAAGATCTAAACCCTATTCTTATGTTAACATCGATTATCACATGCTAGATCTAGGGTTTATGACTTTGGATGATTATTGCATGTTCATTAGACAAACTAGATCCAAAGCTTTAGGGTTTGCATGTACACCATAGGAATGTTGTAGTGCTCATAACGCATCAGATATCGTTGGCCCGACATATCATCTCGAAAGCTACCATCTTATGAATGACACCTGGGGTCAACATTTGGACGCTACACCCATTACGCCGGAGCATCTCCTCTTGGAAATCAGTCAGCGGAAGGCGAAGGCCGGCGTCGAAGGTTTTCAAGTAAACACCCACCTTCCCAGGCGGAGGCGAGGTAATCAGAGAACCGGAAGCTGGAAACTCTACCCCATCAGACGGAGTGAGGCCATAAGCCTCTTGAAGAGTGGCGAACTCAGCAGAACTATGGATCAAACTCAGAGAGGAAGCCATGTTGGAAACACAGAAGAAGAAGAAGAAGGGGAAAAGAGATGAAGAAAGAAGATAGAATTTGAAAAAACCGCCTGCAAGCAATAAAAGGAAAAAAGCGGGACTTACGAAAACCCCCTGACATGGCTGACGTAACCGCCACACACACGTCGAAGCGTCACATCGCCGAAAATGAAACGACGACCAAGTAAAAGCGTGACACGTACGCCAACAGTTAAGTCCAGAACGTCATAGCTACCTAGCATACACTATGACTACTGGACTGGGGGACTTGATGACGCGCCCCTCAGAGCGGGCCAGAGACAAGAGAACCCCCGACGAGAGCAGTTAAGTCCAGAACGTCGTAGCTAGCTAGCATACGCTATGACTACTGGACCGGAGGACTTGATGACGCGCCCTCAGAGCGGGCCAGAGACAAGAGAACCCCCGACGAGAGCAGTTAAGTCGAGAACGTCGTAGCTAGCTAGCATACGCTATGACTACTGGACCGGGGACTTGATGACGCGCCCCTCAGAGCGGGCCAGAGACAGGAGAACCCCCGACGAGGAGTTCCTAACGAAGCCTGGGTTGGCGACTTGGCCGCCCTGACCGCCGAGACCCATAAGAGGCGACCGCGTGGGAAGTCCGCCCTCGCCAAGGGTTGTCCTCAGCTACAGTCCAAAGATAACGGCTCTAGGAGACAAAGAGCATGACCAGAGCATTATCGCCTGGACCAATCGTTGGACCGGACACAAACGTGGAGCATGGTCCTCCAATAAGGACGGCGGATCATGTCGGGGTCGCAGTCCCTGTCCCTCGTACGGATCGAGGAAGATCCTCAGTATAAAATGCTGATCACTTTGCCTTGAGAGGTAAGTTATTCTCCCCCGATCATTCACCCTTATACTTCCATACTCCTCCCACTAACTTAACCGTCGGAGCGTCTTTCCGGGACCGCCCCCGGAAGGCGGATGACGTTTCTTCCTTCTTTGTGACCTCTCAGGTTCTATTCCATCGATCATCTCCCAGCAGTGAAGGTGGTTCGGAACCGGGTCACATCTGTAATATAATCATTGTATGTCTGGATGAAAAATAAAAGTTTTGAAATAAACTTTAAAAAACAGAGTATAAACTTACAATTTAACACTTGCCGAATGATATATTTTACTCTTTTATAAATGTTTAAGCACACCATCACTCTCCTCTCTACGTAAATGAATGAAAACTGAAAAGTATATATGTTTTACTTCTGGAGCTTATTTGTTAAGCTCTCTTTACGAATCGTAATCAATGATATGGCAAATCGTTCATTTGGTGGCTTCGGAAGGCGATGCTTTGCTTCATTATTCAAATCCACTTTCACCTCTTACACTCCCAGTACCACCAGGTATCCATAATCGCAATTGCTTCAATTGCTCCATTGATAATTCATACTTATAGTATATCGAATTCAAACCCATATGCCAATTCATTTTTAACTGAACTTATGCCAGGCCAATTCCATACCAAGAACCCAATTTATCCTCATTCATTTCATCGAACAGTTGGTGGGCATTCAGAAACTTGACAATTTGTAGGCACTACGGGTTTTCGTCTTCGTCATCGTCATCGTCATCGTCATCGTATCAATCAACAGTGCGTTGCGTTATATCAGAAGGAAAACCCAAATTCGAGGCATATGAAATCGATCCACCTAAGAAATTCAAATGGAAAACGAAGAAAAAACTGAAGTTGCAAAGAAAGAAAGAGAAGCACAAGAGAAACTTAGCAAACAAAAAGGACCCCCGTCGTCTCACCATCAAAGGATCTAAAAGGAAAGCCAGGTTTGCCAATGCTGAGGAACGAATCAAATATAAGCTCGAAAAGGTTAGTATCATAATCATACAAACATCTTATGTTTCAATTCAACCAATCTCCAAATCTCTTCTGTTGTATTGTTAAGTGAGAATGCAACACACATTCAGGCAAAAATCAAAGAATCCTTGCTGATTGAAAGGCTGAAGAGGTATGAAGTTTCAAAACTTCAAGGACCAATGGTGAAACCAGTTGACATGACAGGTGAAGAACGATTCTACATGAAGAAGATGGCTCAAAAAGGATCCAATTATGTTCCAGTTGGAAGAAGAGGTGTGTTTGGAGGTGTCATCCTGAATATGCATATGCATTGGAAGAAACATGAAACTGTAAAGGTCATCTGCAAGCCTTGTAAACCAGGTCAAATCCAAAATTATGCTAATGAAATTGCAAGATTAAGTGGTGGAATCCCAATTCAGGTCATTGGAGATGACACCATAATCTTTTATCGTGGGAAGGATTATGTGATGCCTGAGGTTATGAGTCCAATCGACACATTATCCAAGAAAAAAGTAAGTATATGCCAATTACCTGATCTTCATTTTGCATGATTTGTTGTTCTTATTTGTGATTTGATACAATTCAGGCACTTGAAAAGTCAAAGTATGAGCAATCTCTGGAGTCTGTAAGGCACTTTATTGCTGTTTCTGAGAAGGAACTTGAATTATATCATAGACACATTGCACTTTATGGTGACTCTTCTGCTGATCATAAGCGCAACACTGTTATTGGGTCCCACCAAGTTCTTGAGGAGAATGTTGATGGTTTATCAAACCAAGAATTATCAGCAAGTGAAGTTGATGATGATGATGATGATGATGATGATGATGATGATGATCTGTCTTTAAGTGATATGAGTTGCACAGATGAGTCTACTAGTGAATTGGATTCTTGTAATGAAGAAACATAGACTATACTTAAGAGGTTTTCTAGAGCTATTTTTTATGATGAAGATGAAGAGGGTATCCATGTCTTTTGCACATAAGAAAGATCCACGAGTCCATGTCCCACATTTTTGGGTTGTCCCATTGACATCAGTCCAAGTCCAGTATACTCCAAACACAGTACAAATTGTCTTGTCTTGTAATGTAATGTGATGTCATGTCATGTCATGTCATGTCCTGTCCTGTCCTGTCTTTTCCTGTCACCCACAGCAAATGGAGCCTTAGAGTTGATCTTGATTTAGGTTAAGATTATAGATTTATGATCTAGTCTTGATTAATGGATCAAATGAGATGGAATCATTTCTTGATTTGGTTTAAGTGATAAATCCACATATTACAATGGTAATCCGTTTTAATATATAAAAATTACCAATTTATGCAATAAAAAGGGATCTCTTACCACTTTAAAAAAACCATGTTTCAATTTGCTATCAGATTATGCATTATTTTACTAATGAAAGGATGTTTTATTTTGCTTATTTTACCCATTCACTTGCTTAAATTGGTAAAAAGATTGAAGCATGGTTGGATAAGTTGGTAAGAAATCTGTTTACAAGAAGTTATTGTGTAAATAAATGATTGGGCCAATTGGCCCAGGTAACATCTAGTGTCATTTTTGTGTATCATCTTGTCGTTATTCTTTGTATGGGGTTATATCAGTCAAACAACACATGTCGATTCTTATCGTTATTTAATTGGATGTAGAAAGGAAAGTTGTGAAAATGACTATTGAGTAAATTGGTGAAACGTCTATGTGAAAAAGATAGGTTTTGTTTGTGTTTATAAGCAAAAGAAGAGAAGCGTTAGTTGTATCCTTTTCAATCATCCAAGTGGCATTATTGATGCCTCAAACGTTACTCATATTTGGACAACTTTTCTCAATTTCTAACGTAAAAAAAATGATCACTTGTGCTAACCTACGTTGGTCCTCAAGCTCAAAGACATTGATACCATAGGAAGCATTTAAAACAAAAACATTGATTACTAAACCTTGGATCATTGATTCTTTTCATTAATAATAACCATAATCCTAAGAGAGGGTTTAAGAGTTACTTTTTACAATTCTCAAGAAGCTCAAGGACCCAAACTAGTAGAGTCTCTCTGATAATATCGCACCCCTTGACTGCCCAAGCAAACAAGAAACCCTAGTTCTAAAGGCTTGACGATTTCAACTGAAACAGTCGAAAGTCAACGACCATACGAGAGGATGAGGGGAGGGTTAAAAGAAATTTCTAAGGATTTTTGGACCATCGAATCCCTTGAATCTCATCATCTTTAATAAATGAAAGTTTTTTTTATCAGTTGTCACACTCTTATTCAATTTGTCAAATATCATTTTGTGGTTATTTTGAATTAATTTTTTTTCGCATGTCATTTTATGAGTTTTTTATTTTATTAAATTCCACATAATATTTTAATGTAATAATTGCAATAAATGGATATTAATTTCATTAATAAACTTACCTTTTAATTTCGAAATTCCCAAAATTAAAGCTTATTAGCTTCTTTTTTTTATTTAAATTATTTGTTTAAATTTAAAAGATAAAAAAACATTTCCATTATAATAATTCATTATTTTTCTTATTTTCTTATAAATTCAAAGTTCTCATATATTTTGACCTTTATATTTAATATTTAAAAAAAAATAACTCATGTAATACATGAGTCTCACAACTAGTCATTTTATATAGATCTAAGAAATCTTATCTTTTTCTTATTTGAATTCAAGGATAATATTAGTGTATTCGTTAACTAGTTCATAACCCGTGGGAACCACGGTTACAAAATTAATTAAACTTTCATATTAAAACTCAAAAGTTAGTAATAAATTATTTTAAATAAATTATTAACTAATAGATATTTTTTAGTTATATAAAATTATAATCGTTGATTTAAATAAATACATGACTTTATAACCTGTATTAAATTTATTTTAATTTTTATTCTAATGTTATTAATTTAATGCAATTAGAATAAGAAATTTAAAATTTGGAATTTAAAATGGAGAATCAATAAATTGAGAAATGACATTACATTAATAAGAAGGTTTAATAGGATATTAGGATGAAGAAATGACATTACATTAATAAGAAGGTTTAATATGATATTAGGATGAAGAGAAATCAGCCTATTCTTTTATTAAAATAGGGAGATAATTATGCTTATAAAAGTATTCATTAATTATTCAAAATAATAATATAATTCTTTTAGGCATAATTAATAAATCATATCTAATTATTTATTAAATATTAATAAATATTTTCTCCATTAACTTTTAATTATTTATTAACACTTTAAATAATAAACTATCATATTAGTTTCTAATTATTTATCTACACTCAATAAATAATAAATTAATGTTTTCTCATTTGTTTATTCTTGTTTTTCATCTTGGGTCAAGTGTGTAACTCATATATGCCTATGTAAATCAGTTTGTGTTACCATGTTGTGTAGTAGACATATATACAATAGACTCCCACTTACACATGTCACAACGTCTTTATGGTCAAACTCATAACTTTAAACATGTTATGTCTTCTTGACAACTACTTAGATCTTATAAACCCTTAGGTTTGATCCAATCCCAAATAAGTGATCATATATATGTTGTTCTCGATATTAGTATGAATCTATAACGACCCAAAAACAATACTAAAATTTTTCATTTAAAAACGATTAGTTTTCATTCATTGATTTTATCAAAAACCATTATCCATTACAATATTCCAAAACATCAGAGTACAGATACAGCAAGTACGGAAATCATGGGGGGATGATGTTGTGTCATCACGTCGGGCTCTTCCCTTTTGAGTTGGAAGTACCTAAAACCATAAACATAAATTGTAAGCATAAAGCTTAGTGAGCTTCCCAAATTACCACAAACAACATACATATCATATAACAACACGTGACTGTGTCAGGTCCGTATCAACCCCCGGGTCCGTATCAACCCAAAATAACAACATATAGTTGTGTCGGGTCCGTATCAACCCAGCGTCCGTAATGACTCTGAGCCTATATAGCTCAATACATAAATCATACAAGCGCACAAACAGAATCATACGATAACATACAGTTCTACTCATACAATACAGTGGTTCGACATTTGTGGTACCTTTAGCTCACTTAAGGTGGTAAGAAGACTCACCTCAAAGACAGACGAAAAGCTGAACTGACACGCTGCGTCGAAATCGTGACTACCGGTCACCTTTGCGAACAACAGTAACCAAAACTCAGACTACCATTCAAATACCTAAAATACCCCTAGGTTAAACCCTAGTCAAAATCCAGGTCAAAGTCAATCGAGTCCACCGGGTTGACTCAATTAGTACGCGGGGGCGTACTCCTCGTGTACGTGGGGCGTACCCCGCAGTTGCCCGAGGATCGGGGAGTTGATCTCGTACGCTCAGCGTACCCTTTGGTACGCCCTACGTACGAGGCTGCTTGCCAACCTCCTAAATAAGTGCTTAATCCCTTAGGTATCGTTTGGTGTAAGGTACAGGATAGGACAGAGCAAAACAAAAAAATTATGTAGTGTTTTGGCATGTCTGGGACAGGACTCGATGGAACAAAAATCAGATTCGATGGGACTAAGTTTTATAATTATAGTCCCACCCAAAATGGTGGAACTAGATGGAACACAAACCACAATGACAAAAACACCCTTCACGTCTTCCCCTCTCTCGCTCTCTCTCCAAATTAGAATGAATGTGTCTACCATTCCTCTCAACCATCACCAACAATTACTCCAACGAACACTTTATTATCTACCATTTCTTCTGATTTCAGACCACCAGTAGAAATTATCCACTATGGTGATACATATTTCATTTAGTTGTGTAATACTCCACCAAATAATCATTCTTCATCTAATCAACACGTCTTCTAGGGTTTCGATTTCGTATGCTTAAATTAACATGGAAGTCAACGATATAAATTCCATGGCTAAACTATTGGGTTTCTACTTTCTCAATCAGCGATGAAAAAAATAGTGATTCATGAATTTTCTTAATGATTTTATTGAACTCTGATGAGTTGAAAACTCTTTAAGATCGATAAGATTCTTAAAAAATAAAACAGAAAGCAAACGAATGAACAAACACACAATGAATCAAACAGATGTCGAATGATTAAAACAGCAACACCTTAGAAGAGCTCGATGAAGAACTTCTACTTTAGAGGCGTGCTAGGGTTTTCAGTACTTGTCAAAGAAAATATTCAAGAAGCGTAATCAATATAATGCATGCATGTACTATATATATACTAAACCCTAAAAACAAAACACGGCTGGACAGGCCCAAACCGTGAATACATATGGACCAAACTAACAAAGCTCAATGGTGCAACCCATAGACTCAACCAATCTCCCCTTTTGCGCCAATTGATGCGAGAGATCACTTCGGTTGAGTAACGGTGATTTTCTTCACAGTCTTGAACAGCTTTGGTATGATGGCAAGAAGAGTTTGACGAAAGTTAATGTACCACCGAAGCATATCTGAAAACATATTCTTATCTACTTCACTGTTCTGATTGCACATGTGTATGATATCGAGAATATGCTCCAAGAAAGAAGTGGAGAACAGGTGTTTGTCAACGAGAGCGAACAGACATTTTTGACCTTCGCCCCTGATGAACATGACTGTATGAAACTGTGGGTCGTTTTTTCCTTGATCATCACATTGATGTTGCTTGCCTTTCCTATTGGCTTGATAGTGGGCTTCCTTCTCAAGGCAGAGGCGATTTCCTGATCCATCTTTGCGACTTCAAGAATATAGCACACTAGCATTCGCTTAATGTGATCAATGATAGGCTTATACTCTTGTTGATTAGTCAACAAAATATTGTTCAGGAGAATCCAGTCATGAGGATTCAAATTTGGCAGATCAGCCAGAGAGATCATGTGAATCGAACTGTCTGAGCCTCGGGTCACTTTGAATTTGACATTGATAAACTTCCCTGCTGAAGTGGGTTTCAACACATTGATTGTTGTGATCTTCTGTTTACTCCAAGTCAGGTATTGCGGTTGAGAGAACGTAAGATAGTATTCGATTAGGTCTCGATCAACCTTTGGTTCAGGAGAGGGGATGGAAACTGTTGACTCAAAACAATGAAAGATGAACGCCTTTCGGGTGATTGGCATATCAAATTGAGAATCCTTGGAATTCTCAAGATCAAATGAAAGGACCAGTTCGAGCCAATGTGTGCTTGGAGATTCAATTACCTCCTTCAGAAGTTTTTCCATTGTCCACAGAGGGAACATAGATTTCCTTCGTTCTAAAGCATTGTTCGCTTCTT